GGGTAATTTGGGCTTATGAAAATGCTTCAAAATGAACAGTACTCAGCAGGGTGAGGGTAATTATGGAAACCAAAATGACGTTCAAAGTCAACAATTGTGGCTTAAGATATTATAACAATTTTAACCAATGACAATGCTTTGGAATGAACAGTAGGTAGAGGGGATAATTAGGGAAACTAAAATACTTCAAAATGAATAGTACCCGACGGATTCGCTCTTTTATTATAGTAGGGATTAGTCTTAGTATGAGATTGTATTGTTAAGCTTTTCAATTTGAGGACTATGTTTGATGTTAGATGGTAATACACGTTCTTTGCCATCCATAAATGGGAGAGAGACTTGACTTATACATAGCATAAAGTGCGCACACACAGGCAGAAAGGTAAATAAATATTTGTTTGCAACTACGAAGCTAGAACATAGTATTTTTTTATTATTTATTCTATTAATAACCGCCGTGACTTTCACATAACTTTGTAATGAATATGGTTTATATCTCATGTTTGTTACGATGTTGATTACGTGTTTTCGAAACATATTAGCATCCAATTCGATTGAGTAAGTTATTCATGAGCATTTGTACGTGCATGCATGACATTGTCCATAGTTGAAAATCTAGCATGCATCGCATGATTGGAGAAATAAATTTACACTATAAAATATTTTATTAAATTACTACTAGTGTATCAAGGAATCCGAGGCATGCTTATGTGATATTTGTTGACATCGTAAGCGGGACACTTCTCGGGTGACTATAAGAAAAGATAGGGAATGTACCTTTGGTAGTTACAAAAGGATGGTTCATTTGATTGTGCTTTTGTGATATTGTGAGTATGACATTGTCTGTGGGATACTTCTTGAGTGATCATAGGAAAAGTAAGGAGATATACCTCTAGTTGTCACTTGAGGATGGTCCACTCGGGTGTATCGATATTATATTGGCAATTTTTAGTGATATTGAGCAAAGCTCTATTCGGTGCATAATAGGTGTGTCATGCCCAATGAAAGTAAAAGATTTTGAATGAAATTATCTCAAATTTACCTTGATGAATATATCATTTCTAGCATGATATTTTAAAGAAAATGATATGGTGTCGCATATTTATATTCATATTCATGGCATTCATGATTTTTACTTATTGAGCATTAGTTTATATAATTCTTGTAATGTAGATAAGTTTGGTGAGCTGGAGCTCCACAGTTAATGTGAATAGCTGTTGAAGCTCTTACATGATTTTGAGAGTCGATGAACATGGATGACGAGCTACCAACCGTTGTTTCGCTCGCACAAACGTCTGTATTATGTTTTTGGGAATCCTATATTGCACATATTTATGTAATCACATAATAAATACTTTTGTAATATTATTATATTTTTGAAAATTATCATCTAGCTTTTTGTCTTAACATATTATAGGAATGTTACACACACTACGCCAAAAATGAGAATTCGCAACATATGAAAGGCAACATTCGGTAGTTAAGTATTGTTAAAGGGGTCTATCGCAACATTTTATGAAGTGAATGTTGCTATTGGTTAATACAATTAAGCTTTAGCAATATTTTATAAATAAACGTTGAAAAAAATTCCTTTCGCAATGTTCAATAAATGTTGCGAAAAACACTTTTTGCAACGTTTATTCAACGTTGCAAACGATCCTTTTAGTAACGTTTAATAAACATTGCGATAAGTAAAGGGGGTTAGGCGAAATACGGTTGGGCCAATTTTTTTAATTGTGGACCGGGTTAACCCGACCCGCCCGAAATCTTAGGATATCATTTTGAAACCTAATTGACCTTCTCTCCCTCTTCTGCCTCCACGTTCACCGCCTCCCCTACAACCGCCCAATCCCACTTCGAAGGCTTCTACGCCGATGCGGATAAAGATTTTGTCCTCGACGAATCCAACGATGCAGTTGTTCCTCCTCCTCGCCAGTCAACTCCTCCTCCCCCCATCTCTCTTTCAGAACCCACTTCCGAGTCCCACAACGATCCGAATCTGAGCTCGAAGCCTGCCTCTACATCTTTTGATTACTGGGATGAGGAAGAATTCGAGGGGGTTCCTCAACATTCAACCCCAGAAACTCCAGAAATTACGATATCTGCCACTGGATTTGAATCTGAGTTGAGTTTTTACACAGTTGATAAGGTTAAAGTTTGTAATTATAATTTTTATTGATTATTCAAATGTTAAGACTACCTATTCTGTGCTGGTTTTTTTTCCCTGTTTTCAATTTAGAAGGCTGAATATCATGTTATAGAATTTAAGTTTCTTGGGTGAAATTCTTGGGTTGCCCGTGACTTTTGATGTAATTTCTTACCTCCTTTCCGGTTTGCTATTCAGAAGTTGAGTTTTCCTCTACACTGGAATACTTGTTTATAGCTTAATGATTGACTTACTCATATATGATCTAGTTGTCAACTGGATAAATTGGTAATCATAGTAGAGGGCTAGAAAAATAATTTATTTCTTCAGATGGATGATGCTTTGTGCGAGTTATAATTGATAGTAGATTAAAGCAAAACAAACTGTCACTGACTATTATTTGGTACTATGATTTAAATGGTTTAGTGAATCTGTGATGTTGCTATAAGAATCAGGAATTTTCTCTGTTTCATAATGGTTGTCAACCTGATCGCTTCTGGTTGCCTCATGATATTGTAACCGTGATCACTGA